ATGAGAGGTAGGCGTACAAGGCACCCACAGGATGGATAAGTTGATTGACTCTCCCTCCTTCCCACCCCCTCCGGCTAATTAGTTAGTTATCGCTGTTGGTATGCCTACAATTAGAAAGCGTATATACTCACACGTAGGCGGTTGCTGGGGTATTTGGGCCGCGCGTGTGGTGCTGTGCCTCGCTATTGTGATCTGGAAGAGAAAAAAAGATGCTCGTTAGTTAGATCGTCCAGAGAATCGATTAAGGAAGGGGGGAGGGGGAGGGGGAGGGAGAAGAACAGGTGGCGTGAGACAAAGCTTTGACTGGGAATTTCTATCTCTTTTTCTTCTTCTTTTTTAATATTTGGATATTAATTGTTTAATGAAATGGTAATAGGAAAAAGTGGATTAAATATGTTGGAAATTTCCATTTCTTCTTCTTCTTCTTTTTTAATATTTGGATATTAATCGTTTAATGAAATGATGGATTAAAAATATGGATTAAAAATATTGGAAATTTCCATCTCTTCTTCTTCTTTTTTAATATTTGGATATTAATCATTTAGTACAATGATAATGAATTAAAAATATTGGAAATTTCTCTTCTTCTACTTTTTTTTTTAATTCGGATATTAATCATTTAATGAAATGATAATGAATTAAAAATACTGGAAATTTCCATTCTTCTTCTTTTTTAATATTTGGATATTAATCATTTAGTGAAATGATAATGGATTAAAAATATTGGAAATTCCATCTCTTCTTCTTTTTTTTAAATATTTGGATATTAATCGTTTAGTGAAATGATAATGGATTAAAAATACTGGAAATTTCATCTCTTCTTCTTCTTTTTTTTTTAATTTGGATATTAATCATTTAATAAAATAATAATGGATTAAAAATACTGGAAATTTCCATCTCTTCTTCTTCTTTTTTTTTAATATTTGGATATTAATCGTTTAGTGAAATGATAATGGATTAGAAATACTGGAAATTCCATCTCTTCTTCTTCTTTTTTTTTAATTTGGATATCAATCATTTAATAAAATGATAATGGATTAAAAATACTGGAAATCTCTTCTTCTTTTTTAATATTTGGATATTAATCGTTTAGTGAAATGATAATTAAAATGAAAATTAAAAATGTTGGAAATCTCTCTTTTCTTCTTCTTCTTTTTTAATATTTCGATATTAATCGTTTAATGAAATGATGGATTAAAAATAATTGAAAATTTCCATCTCTTCTTCTTTTTCTTTTTTTAACAAGTATTATTATTCCTTGATAATGATCGATCTCGAATGTGAAAAAATGAATTAAAAAATGTTAAAAATGATTGGTGAAGGGGGTAGAGGATGATTTAGAAGATGATCGAGATACTCGAAGAGCTCGTCATCGATGGAAAAAGTCGTTGCGAAAATGTCAGGCACGATTCGTTCGACTCTCTCTCTTTTTCTCTCTCTCTTATTTCGCTCGAGGCACGTATGAATCGTGCGATTTTACAGCCGCGTTTTCTCATCGATTAAACTCGATTATCAACCACGAGGATCCGGCTATGGAAAACGATGTGCCGATAAATTGCACTTTCGAGAACGATCTCGAGAAGATCTTCTATGTTAATCTCTCTCTCTCTCTCTCTCATCAATTAATCATCGTACCCTATGAAATTCAAATTTCTATTAACTCGAAGGGATTGGAACAATAAGATAAGGTCAACTCGAGGAAAGATCGAATAAATTTAATATGAAAAGAAGATGGGTTGAAATTAAGTTCGAAGGCGTAGTCGAAGGCGTAGTTGAGGACAAGCAACGTGCTCTCGATGATTAATTTCACCCGTGAAATCCGAGCCCACCTGTTCTGTGACAAGGTTGTATTAGAAGCAAGGCTTAAAACGCGGCTACTTGCAAAGGCCGATTGGATAATGGGGAAAGGGCGATGAGCGTTCTAGATCGTTCCTAATTACATTATCCCGTGCTAAAACCGTGCCAAACATTGGTCAGCAAACGTTAATTACTTATCGTTCGTAACAAGTCGTGAAAATATTCTACCATTCCGTATCGAATCGAATGAAACGTTGGAGATTGAATAATAAGACAATTGAAAAATCCTTATTCTTATCCAAATTTCTCGTGTTCGATCCTTCCCTTAATTTAACAGGATAATCCCTAATTATATTATTGATTGGTTAATTATCGTCTGTAATAAATGCAAATATCATTTCGTATACACGAGTTAGAATTATTACAGATCCATATTCCAGCATAACGCGCGCTTATTATGTTACGAATCAAGCGCGCAATTGGGTTCCAAGAATTGTAAAGATTCTCGTGAGAATCTTTCGAATTATTCTTCCAAATTTTGTAATCGTAATCGTCATGTTGTAGGGAGAATTCCATAAAAGAAAAAGGTGTAAAATTGGTTTGAGAACGCGTCACACGTTCTCCAAGCGATTGGACGATGACGGTGAACGAAGCAAGGGCAAGCGAGAAACACCTCTTACTCCCTCGACACACTTTTATTTTCCAATCCGCGCCGATTTAGGTATCGACGTTACGTGTACACTGGAACGACCACCATCGGGATTAGGTGAGCGTGTAATTGTTGCAACCGTTGCGTCCGTTTCTTTTTCTATACCCGATGGACCCGATGGTCTCGAAGACAGGATCCACGCAACCCTGAACTGGTTTCGTTTCCAATAGCGTCGTTGTAAATCAATGGATGGAATTTTTCTTTCTCTCTCTCTGTCTCGCTGTCTTACTTATTAGGATTCCATATCGGTGAAATAAATAAATCCAAGTCGGTTCTCGGATGGAAAGTGAGAGTTGGCGTGTATACGATTTCTCACACATCGAAAGCCAGCATACCATGAAAACGAGCGTATTAGAGAAATTGTCTAATAAACACGAACACGTTGTTAATATGGATATGTATATGTATATATATATATATA